AGCAGAAGGAAACTGCACCTGCATAATCATTTTCATTCTCACAAAGGCCCCTGATAGCTAACCTGTGACTTATAGTACCAAAAGAGAGCTCTAATTTTTTTCATAACTGAAGAAAAAAACAAACAAAAAAAACAACCTATGAAAAAAATGGGTTTATGATTTTCATTGATGATACTAAAAAAAAAAAAAGGTAACCTGAAGAAGAGATTACCCAAAGCAGCGACATGGAACACATTTCAAAGCTTAACTGGCCAATTATGCTTTTTCTCATGGTGTGATCAGTTTAACCAGATTCAGAAAGCACTATTTTAAAACTGCCCTACTTTGCAGTAGAACATGCATGCACATACGTAAGTACATAAAAACAAATTCTGCTTTGTACTGATCAACATACTTCTTTGGGTCTCTTTCTGCTTTCTGGAAGTTTTCCATTAGCATATTTCGCAAGGGGTCCTTCCTTCATAACTTCTGTATCAAGCTCTTAACTGTCCTCAGGCCAGTTATTTCTCCATATTAATTCCATTTAGGAAGTGGGCTTTGTATTTAGTGCTGGGCCATCAATGCTTTTGCTACCAAGCACAGTTACTGAGCAGTAAATATGAAATAAATCACTGTTTTGCTGTACTGTCATGGTCTTAACCCTGGCAAAGTCACTAGTTTCCACTGCTTCAGTACCAGAGATGCCAAGCTAGTCAGAGATTTGCAGTGGTTTAAGCTGTTAGTTCACAACTGAAGGTTAAATTAGAGACACTTATTTTTACCAGAAGCAGATTATTAGTTTAGTCAGTAGTAATACAAACACACACACCCCACACACAGACAGATGAACTGCCATGGGATAAACAGAGTATGAGCTTGATTATACAAAACTCCCTTGCATTAACCACAGGGAAGGAGCACAACCGTGACTAGTTGCTGTGGAATAGGAAGTGTAGCAAGTTCACAGCTTTTACTAATTACACAGCACAAACTCACTCGCCTGCCCACATGCTCCAGGCAATTACTCTGCAATACTACACTGGTTTTCAAACTGCACTGACAGATGGTGGGTGTGTGCGGTGCTGCTGTTGTTCAAGGTTTGGATTCTCAAATCAATGGGTTTACTCACAACAAGAACTGAGTTCAGAGCAGTCCTCCAGTGCTTTCTGGCCACCCTATCTGAAGCCCTACAGATGATCTGTTTACGGAGAGGGGATGGGAAAAGCACTCTTACTGCATTCATTTGCCTGCAGTAATCACTGTAATGCAAAAATAGCAAATCTTCAAATGTTTCCACAGAAATGCTGGTACAGATGTAGATTTTTCCCTTGACAACGGCGAGCTGTGAGTAAATTCTGGGGCAAAGTCGGGGAGAGACGCAGCTGTTTTGGTATTGACAACCACAAGCTATAAAATCATGACTCAAGCTCTCAAACAAAGAAGAATATTAAAGATCCCCGTCAGACTCCATTGATGTCTATTCTGTCTGAGCTCAGAACGAACAGCAGCACCAAGAGGGAAAAGGTCTGGCATCCAACTTAAGCTGGACTCACACAGTCAAAACGGCTTGGGACAAGGTGTCTAGAAGGAATGCAAAGACATCAGAGATGAAGTGATTTGTCAGAAGTACTTTAAAACAACCTTTCTGCTGAACAGAAGCCTTGAAAACATATTTCCCAAGAAATCTCCATTGCTGGCAACATGCCATCTGAGGAAACTTTTGTGTTCTGAGGTTTAGGACTGCATCACCTTGTGGGCCTTTTTAAGACATGCCTATAAATACAATTTGGGCAATTCTATGGTAACTTAAATACATAAACCTCTTGATAATTCTTGCTGCTCCATTAAATGACAAGTAAAAAAAAAGGAAAAGAGCATTAACTGTCACAGGCACCTTAACAAAACAGCCAGGCCACCTAAACTACCTCCACTTTACCTCCTTACACAATTAAGCATCAGAGTAACTTGTGTTGGGAGCAAGGAAAAAAAAAAATAATAAACAAACAAAAAAACAAGGAAAAGAGCAATGAATACATGCTAGATTTGAAAAGAATGGCAGTTTTCCTACATGCTCTTATGACCCATTTCCAGCCTCATTGCTTGGCCAGCTGTCCATCCTGGCTTTCATCACCCCCCCCCCCCCAAAAAAAAACATATAAAGATGATCCTATTCTCCTGAATCCCACAGCTATTCCCAAAGGTGCAAGCAGCAGCAGCAAGACTTGTAGACACAGGAGAACACTCCCATCCATGTCCATGTTTTGCTCAGCTAGCCCTAGAGGTTGAGCTGGCATGTATGTTGGGTTTTCCGCTTCCCTAAATGGAAGTTTAGATACTGCTGTAGTAGATAGAAACTACCAAAAGCCTCTTTTCACTATATTCAGTAACAGAAGAGGATTCATGTAAATTACATATGACTGCATGTGTTTCTTATACCTGTTATTTACAGATAAACATCATAAACCTCCAGCCTTCCATCATCCTCCTCTTTCCTCTTCAAGAAAAATCCTTCTAATTTTTCACTATGCTCATCCAAACCTTCCAAGAGAGAACAGATACCTGCAGCCTCTCACATAAAATTGTGTTTCATGCATGGTTTATTTATAAGTCTCCTTTCAGCAGTGTGATTAAAAAACAACCAACCAAACGTCACCCATCATTTTGTCTGGGCAAACAGGAACATTTGGCTAAAAGATGCTGAAAGCAGCCAGACTGCAGGACATTCTGGTCACTCTTAATAGGAGTTTCCAAAACTCAGGATCAGAAGTTTCACGAATATCCAGCTACTAAATCCTTCATTCAGAGTTCAGCAAACTTCAGTGACCCCGATGAGCACAGCAGCCTCAGCATAGCAAAAAGGCAGGTCTTGAGGTAGCCTAATCTTAGAAAATTAAAAGCTTTGAAGATTAAGAGCAGGACCTTGAAATGACCCAGAGAGAAAAAAGCAAAAGACTAAGTGGTTTCTGTGGCCAGTCTCTCCCAGATAGCGGGCTGCTGCTAAGCCCCAGTGTTTGCAGCCAGCAACTCCATCTTAGGAGCACAGGAGTACTCCAGCTCAGCACCTTGGTCTCTCCCAGGGAAAGGATCAGAGCTGCAGGGCCCAAAAATGGAGTATGCTAGAAACCTGGGATGGAGACATTACTGGCTGCATTTACTATCCTACGTCTAGAATATTCTGTTTTTCTGAATAACATCACGAGTTGTATTTACCCCAAAGTGACGTTACCGAGTCATATGGGAAAGCTACCGCACAGATTTCTAAAGTTCTGATTGCTCTCCATCATCTTACTGTTCTCTTGCAACAAATTTCACAGTTAAGAGGATGCCTGCACACACATGCAAAGTACAGAGAAACATAACCTGATTTTTCAGCTCAAAATAACACAGGAGAGAGACAATTCCAAGCAGTAAGGTTAGTTCTACATGCTTTGTTTGTTTGTTTTATTTTTTTTCACCTAGGATAGCCACCACAGAGAAAACTAGAATCACATTTCAGGAACAATTCATGTAATTGATTTGATGTGCCCAAAGGAGGCAGAAAATAAAACAATGTAGAAGGTAGCTTGCTATTTTCAAGTGCAGAGTTTGTCAGGAAAAGCAACAACTGATCTCTCTCTTGCCAAATTGCTTAGCGATGCCGGTGTGGGGGATCAGAAGCAATGAAGTTAAAACTACTAGAATTAGCAAGGAGATATTGGCACATGCTACTACTACCAAAAAAAAAAAAATAAATAAATAAAATCAAAAGAAAGTCTTTCCTCCATCCTGCTGCTTTCAACTAGTTATAAAAGCTGGATATAAGAACCTGCTGTTCTTTGCAACAATTTTTATCACCTCTACATAAAACTGAAGACTAGATCAACTTCTTTATTCAATGCTTCTATGGTACAGGAAGGATCAGTTCAGTTGTACTGGCTACTATGTCTATTCAAGAACTCTCTTCTAAATAATTTTATTTCTAACAGAACTGTTTCTTTATCTGCCAATACTTACAAAACATGCTCAAAACTGGTATGTATGAGGACGTACACAAATGCACACATAGGTATCTCTAGCGTTTTATTTAAAATTCTCCTCTACAGAAAATAATCTTCAGAGGCACAGTTTAAATTTGTAAAAAGTATTCATCAAACAAAAGCAAGACAGCTATCACAAAAAGCAAAGAAATCAGTATAAGCAAAAGGGCTGCATCACTTAGGGTTAACAAACCCTGACGAATTCACAATACAGTTAATTTCCTTCTGGCACAGCTGCATTACTCACGTGCATGAAGTCCATGCCAAAATGCACCCATAAAATTAACTATAGCTATCCAGTCCAATATAGCAACCAGGAAGGAAAAGTTGTTTTAGACTGTTCATTTTATTTCTCAAACAAGACAATCACCAAAAAGGCCCAACACAAAAAAATAAAAAAAAAATTTAAAAAAACCCACAAAAACACAACAACAAAACAAAACCTATTCTAAAAACCAAATTTTACGCATGCATTCACACAGATACACATTGATGCTAACTGTTGTTTTCACTTTCACTTCTCAGAGGTACACCCTGGCTGGCTAAATCAATTCCAGGAGTACAAAAGAAATTGATAGAGGTCTTTTCTTCAAGAATGTAAGAGGAAGACTTAAATCCCAAGGCACAAAGAAACTGAACTTATAACTTCAGGAGCAATACTCCAATATCATCTTCTACATCAACAATTACATCAGAAAGATCTCAGAGTTCTCAGAACCAACCACCTTCATTTATCAAGTTCCAAAGAACTATAGAAGCGTTAGACTAGTCAAGAGAGTCATCTGGACAGACTTCTTACAGTATGCTGTCTTCTTTTAGAAAAACCGTAAGAGTGAATGTAGATAGAAGTCATAAAACTTTTAATCACAAAAAGGAGGAGATGTATGTGCACACAGAGGAAAGAATTTTATCTTTTCTTTTTCTGTGATGACTTGAACATACCAGGTTAACCACGCACTGAAACCTCAACCCTTATTTATTTAAATTTAGTAAACATTTACTTACCCAGCATCCTCCTGGAAGCCTTCCAATTCATCTCTTTGTTCTGCTAGGGTGGATTCTAGATCCAGATAGGTACCGTTGTGGGACAACTGCAGGGTACAGTCATCAAGCTGTAGAACAAGATTCAGATCGTTAGATTACAGCAGTCCTTCTCTCTATTACACCTCTAACATAGCCTTCCCATTTTCCAGGTCCCCAGACAAGATGTTGCAAAACCAAACTATACATTGGGAGTCCCTATTCACTAGACCTTGTTTGGTCACAACAATATCAACACAAACAACAGACACAGGGAAATTTATTTATTTCAACATATAGGAGAAGATTGGAGGGGCTCATCACAGTGCCTTTAGAATCCTGCGAGCAAAGTTAAGTTCACTTAAACATGGTATTTAGGATATGAATTACTGTTCTCTGTTCTTACAGTATATTTAGGTAGAGTTTCTGGACCTCTGGATGGAGGTGGAAGGAAGAAGCTGCTGTTTCATGTGTTACTAAACGTCCTTAACAAGGAAGGATACAGCCAAGGGATAGTACAAGGTGTGCCAGCCAAGAGATAGGGCGCTGCAGTGATGAGGAATGCAGTCAACCAAAACCCAGATTTTCTTATTTTCAAGCAGTGCACTACCAGCCTCAGAGGTTGCAGGGAATTCCTTCTGAGGCACTAGGGGAAGGACTGGAGACCCCTACCAACTTCCTACAAAGGTACTGAGTAACCAGAGACCAGACCTGAAAGCAGGAACCTGCCTGCAGTGACACTGAAGCGGGGGAGAGCAATTAATAAGCCCTCTTTATTTCCATCCTGTCTTCCCTTATCTTTGAGTGCTCCATTAATTGTTCCAGCTGTTCTTAAAAAAAAAGCCAGGTACAATCAAAGATAGAAATTTTTAATGGGCAGCTAGTGACAGGAGAAGGCCTAGGAAGATCCACTCTAAAACTCATTGCACAGGAATCCAGAATAATTACTGGATCAAGAGGGGTAACTGAAGAAGCCCGAGGGAAGAGCTAAAAAGTAACATGAGCTCCTCTCTCGCCATCAGATAACCCTGTGTCAAATCTCAAGGTATGAGGAAGAAAAGCCTTCCCAGGGCAGGGAAACAAGAACACATTCACCAAAGGGCAGGTGAAAGTCCTACCTCGCAACTACTGAGGTAAGTGACCATCTGCTTATTGAACCCACCTCGGAAGCAAAGAAACTGCCATCACTGAGCCCACTGAACAGGCTGCTCTCAACCTTTGTGTATCAACACAGCATTAGGCACCCTTTTGTAACTGGTTCCATGTTCACAAATATTGTAAGCCCCAGATGTGTTGTGCTACTACATTCAAAATCCAGTACTGTAGCTAAGCAGTTCTCAGACTGACTTGCCAAACAGAAGATGTTTCATTCTTCTGGATTTGGCAAAACAAACTGACAGGTCCTTTGCATGCCTCCATCTACCAAAAGGCCACTGTGGTATAAATGGCACATTCCTGCTGCAAAGACCACTTTGAGAATAGGGTGTTTAACAGTATACTTCATACCGATCTTCTGCCACAGCTGGTAGTCAGCAACTCTCTGAAGCAAGGGCCTGGAACAGCCAGTGACTCAAGGAAAGGAAGTTACAAACCTTTCATCATATCCATGGATTTTTCTTTCTGCTCTTTTTAACACTAGGAAAGAAAATCAATTGAGAATCCATCTTTGATGAATTACCTCTTTTAACTTCACCTCAAATTTATGGTTTCCAGTACCTGTTCAGGAAATCAGCCACACTTGTTATCTGGCAGTCAATACCAAAAACTTAGTCACTCAGTTTCCTAGTCACTGATTTATATATGCAAGAAAAGAACACAAATAGCCTTTGATTATTCTGGATTAGGTACACTGGAATTACTACAGTAGAGCCCATTTGTAATTAGCAAGTGATAGAGGGTGATTTTTGGATTGGTCCACACCACTTTGTTTTGCATTGCTTGCAATCTGAAAGACCTTGACACACTTGTGAGGTGGGCTGATGCCAACCTCATGAGGTTTAACCATGCCAAGTGCAAGGTCCTACACCTGGGTCGGAGCAATCCCAGGCACAGCTACAGGTTGGGCAGAGAAGAGATTCAGAGCAGCCCTGTGGAGAAGGACTTGGGGGTGTTGGTTGATGAGAAAATGAACATGAGCCGGCTTCAGTGTGTGCACGCAGCCCAGAAAGCCAACCGTATCCTGGGCTGCATCAAAAGGAGCGTGACCAGCAGGTCGAAGGAGGTGATCCTGCCCCTCTACTCTGCTCTTGTGAGACCTCACCTGGAGTATTGTGTGCAGTTCTGGTGTGCTCAACATAAAAAGGACATGGAACTGTTGGAACAAGTCCACAGGAGGGCCACAAGGATGATCAGGGGACTGGAGCACCTCCCGTATGAAGACAGGATGAGGAAGTTGGGGCTGTTCAGCCTGGAGAAGAGAAGGCTGCATGGAGACCTCACAGCAGCCTTCCAGTATCTGAAGGGGCCCTATAGGGATGCTGGGGAGGGACTCTTCATTAGAGACTGTAGTGATAGGACAAGAGGTAATGGGTTAAAACTTAAACAGGGGAAGTTTGGATTGGATATAAGGAGGAAATTCTTTCCTGTTAGGGTGGTGAGGCACTGGAATAGGTTGCTCAGGGAGGTTGTGAATGCTCCATCCCTGGCAGTGTTCAAGACCAGGCTGGACGAGGCCTTGGGTGATACGATTTAGTGTAAGGTGTCCCTGCCCACGGTAGGGCGGTTGGAACTAGATGATCTTAAGGTCCTTTCCAACTCTAATTATTCTATGATTCTATTCTATGATTCTAAGTTTATCCTCTGGAGAAAGGGTAGAGGGTGAAAGTAAAGCTGTATTTCAATTGTGTTCTATTCTTTCTTCCCCCCATGGGGAAAGAGTAAGTCATCAAATAAGGCGACATAAGTTTTTACTCTGACTCCTGGGAATTAAAGAAAGCAAAGAGCCTCCAAGTACAGGCCTCTGTCACTAAGAATAACAACAGTATTACTACTCTATCTTTCTAGTTACAAAGGATATTATTAACCTATGCTAATTCAAAATACATTCTTTAGACAAGAAAGACTAAATACTACTCTGGGAAACTTTTATCCCAGTAGCCCAGGGTATCTAATAAATGCTAATTTATTCAAAGTAATGCCAAAAGGCAAACTCCAATTAGATAAATGTTCTGCTGTCACTATGGAGATTAGGAAATTTGCCCACAATTTCCAATTATACTGAATAATTAGGGAAAAGGCACTGTGCTTTACTAATATCTTATGACTTTTGTATATAAAAAGCACAAGAACAGGAAGAACTTCATGTACAAAATAAAGACTAGCACATTCTACCTATGTTCATCTCATCTCCATAGTTTCAGCTGCGCATAGTATTCATTCAGGTTTCAAAGCACTGCACATTTTACGCTGTATCCATTAATAGGAGTTTAGGGTAATGGGAGAAACACAGTATCTTTTATTTCCATTACTTAACACTGTGTCTTGCCAGAATTATTTTGATTCTCATGCATGTGTACACACAGAGATGGAAGGGATCAAAACAACACTTTTTAAAGGAGCAGAGGTTTTAAGGCAATAGAACTCAAATCCTCCTCATATAGGATCACTTTGCTACTTTGCCTCTAAGCTTCATTTGCACACGTTTTACAGGCAGAATACAACATGAGAAGCCATCCTATGAATTATTTTTAATTAGTAAATTGCCGGCCTTTTTCAACACAAAGGATGGCTGATGTTCACTCATTAGAGCTTATTAGTAACAATTCAAGATGCTGGTCTCTCCCCTCTGGGAAACATTAATGCCTTGTATATCTACTATGCATCACTTCTCCCATCTCTGGAGACCCTCAAAAATGGCCTCATGTAGTTCATTCATGACACTTTTCCCGGTGATCAGAATTCACGTTAAAATCCTCACTAACACCATCTTCTTTTAGGACAATCGAAAGGCAGAATCCATAAAGACAGTCTTTCAAAGAAGAGTCAACCAAGTTGTTTCCCATAGTCACAAAGAAGACTGCTATTCAATTTTTTATAAATTAATTCTATTTATTTCACTTTGCTCTTCACAATTCTGTTTAACTCTTCAGTATTCCAGTTGTTGAGGTAGGCCCTCAGAAGAGGAGGAACAGCTTTGCCTAAGAAATCAGAGCCAAACAAGTGTAGCTATACGGCAGAACTTCAGGACAGCATTATCTACTGTCTGTAATCACATGTACTTCTCTCCTGCAGATTCCTGCTTCATTCACTTCCCAAACATCTTCAGGAAGCAAGACAAGTCCCACAACATCGTGCAGGAGGTGTTCAGAGTAGAACCACCCTATGCTTTCAAGGTATGTGATCATATCACTACTGACTAAATCATGCTGTATATGTCCACATCAGGGAAAGGGGGTGTCATAGAATCACAGAATACCAGATTGGAAGGCACCTAGCAGGACCTAAACTAGATGGCACAACACCCTGCCCAGGCAGATCTTAAGTGTCCAGCTCTGGGGAACCCACCATTTGCCTGGGGAGATTATTCCAATAGCTAGTTGTTCTCATTATGAAAAATTTTCTTGTACCAATCTGAATCTCCCCTGATTCAAGGTTACATTCACAATTTTTATTTTGTGTACAATAAACACTCATCTTAGGTGTTGCATTCATCTCTATGTAAATACTTAAGGGGTTTTTTAAAGTGAAACAATGATAATTTCAACAGAAGAAATTTTATTAATGTCCTTGTGCGTCATCATCACAAAAACTCTTTAAATAACCATGAAATCAAGTTTTCCCACAGAAAAATGGAAATGTAAGGAAACATAGGGGAAATGTAAGAAAAATTAACAGGAAGTACAAAAAAGACCAAGTGATATTTATACTCTTGTAAATTTATACTTACACTGTTATAAATTTCACTGAGAAGTTGAGCACAATTAAACTTAACTGTTGAGCACAGTTAAAATATCAGAACATTTAAAAGCAGAGCTTCCTACTGCCTCATCCTTTGCTATTTAACCTGTTACAGAGTGAAATCATACCACACAAGAGGAGAAGGGTGTCCTGGTTTCAATTATAACCAGAAACGGGCAGAGCAAGGTCAGAGGTG